GATCTTTTTGTTCGGTCTTATGTCAAGGTTTCTTCAAAGGTTTGTTGTAATTGATTTCGTATTATTATTATTATTATTATTATTATTATTATTATTATTATTATTATTATTATTACAATTTAAAATATTTAAAGATATCGTACCATATATAAAACTGAATGTCAACTATGAACTTATGAAGTGTACAAGGAGGATTTGCTACTAAAAAAGTGAAAAGGGAGTTTGTGAAAGGATGACTATTTTTCATTGTTCCTTTTTTTTGTACAGATTTATTCATTTGAGATGTATAAAAGAAATGAAAAAAATAAATATTGTATAATTTGAACTGAAGCTTCTAATAATATTAAAGAATTTGTCATTTATCTAATAATTTTTATTTTGTATTTTAACTTTTATTTTGTAATTTTTACTATATTAAATTACAAAATAAAAAATTCTAAAAAATAATTTTAAAAAAATCAGGAGGTAGTGACAGAAAGGCATGGGGTCCTTCAACTTGCAATTTTCCTCAAGAATCCAAGACAAGCGTTAGGATTAGGAATCTTGACTTCTGAACTAAAAAATGTTCTCAAAGGAAATCAATGGGGAAAATTCCAGGATCACCAAACTTCCTTTAAACAGAAAAGTTATTCTTACCAAGGTGAGGATCAATACAGAAAGGGGCCTAACCAAAGTTTTCTTTGTCAGTGCCATAAACAGGCAGATTGCTTCTGCTGCCTAAATCATCCCATTAACTATGGTTTGGTTGAGACGGTGTGTGCAACAGGGGACTGTAACGACTAACGATTGTTTCTGCTGCCACAATAACCCCAAGAAATCGAACTGAATGACACTGAAACGAAGAGAAATCCATGCAGATTGTTTGAACATAGTTTCAATCAATAAAGAATCACTTGCATAGCGAAACATAAATTTGAGATTTTTAATCATTCAGGTGATAGTTTCTTGTTCGTAGTCTATTTGCAGAATACACAATCATATGCTAGCTGATAGACATCTTATCTGATACTGGTACATTATATCCGTCCCATAACCGACCTTGAGAGTTAAAAGAGATGATGGAGCATTTATGGTATTGGTACCTAAAGTTCTCCAAAGAATCCACTGTATCTACTCCCAAGCATGAAATGTGTTTTCTTTACACCACAGAAATGCTGTCAGGTGGTTAAGTTTGCTCCAATTATCAGAGCAATTCATGGTATGGTACAGTGACTACAGCCCCAAGGCATGATGAAGAGTGTACAAAAGCAGGGTCAAATTGGCTCAGAGAAATAAATCGTGCTGAATGGAAGAGCAGGAGGTTCAGAATGGGAAGAACTACATACAAGCATCATGTCATACAACAAATCAGTGGGAGTTCCAGCCACCTTAACCAAGGACTGAAAACAAAACCATCAGAGCAGCATTGTCCAAACTTTAGTCTTAGTGCTCCATCAAGGCAGTTTCGGTTTCTGAAAGTGGAGCTGCAAAAACAAACTAAAAAAAATAAAAAAAAACGACACCAAACTGAGAGGGAATGGAACAAAAAAGTGAGAAAACTACACTAAGAAGTTTTGAGGCCAAAAATTTTGAGTCACTCAAAAGAGTCTATCATGCAAATATTCCAAGACTTCATGTCAACTGGAAAAGAGTTGTTTGTTGGCCGAAAAAAAAAAAAAGGCAAAGAGTTTAAGCAAACAGAAGGCATTTACAATTATAACAAATTAAATAGAGTCGGGGTTAGCCAACATACCAAGCAAATCCTCATAAGAATCAGCTAAAAAGGAAGTGTCCATTAACAAAGGAGGGGAGAAGACTTCATCATGAGCATCTTCCATGTTAAAAAATGACCTTTCTGCATCAGAAGATACTGCATGATTTGTACCAGCTGCTGAGAAAAATCCATTTACTTGATCATAATCATGAAGTGATTCCAATTCACCCAAGATCTCTGGCAGGTGATCATACTTGCTCCTCATATGGTCATCACGAGGGTGGTTGTCAGGCCCTGAATTGTCTGTTTGAGATGAAAACAGTCTTTTACTCTTTATGGAGGCCACTTTATTTTCTGGACTCGCACGAGAAAGATTAGCCGATGAAATAGGTACAAAAAAGTGTTCAAAACTTTCATCAGAGTGATTGTCTTGTGATGATTCTGAATTGCAGGATGGCATTGACAGGGCAGCATCCCTTACAGATCTCTTTAAGTTCAGAACATAAGAATTGTCACCATCTGCAAAATGGGAAACTAAGAATCAAATCCTTGACTAAAGCTGTTAATAACCAATTTTTCTCTGTCAATGACAAAACGAAATGACAAAACCATAAGCTTACACAAACAGCAGGGCATGCAGTGGGAATGCAAAAAGTGACAAACCTTGGGGAAGGTTATCAAGGCGTTTATTTGACAAAGGTTGGTCCACAGGGCTCCTTTCAGACAAATTTTCCATTTGCTTGGTCTGAGGAGCTGAACTGTTTCGCTTTTGCACATTTCCCCCTTTCCCCAAAGAATTTGGGGTCAAAGTAAATAACTGTGGGAGCTTCAAAGCTGGAGAACTAGCTGATGCCTTGTCAAGCTGAATGGTGGACATTTTTGAAGTTACATCAGAAACATCACCAGAGCTACTTTCCTGTATAATTCAAAGAAGTAAAAAAATAAAAAAGAATCATCAGTTCTACAATGTAATTATCAAATTTTAAAAAGTAGTTTTAATATTTGCATGAAAACAGAAAATCATTGAACAGCTAGTCAGTTACCAGTGTCCTTCCACTGCTCTGAGCTTGAAGAGTTGACATGGCTTGGCTCCTATGCCTGGCCACAGAAGGCATGTTGGCAGAAATGCCATTTACTTTCTCTGTGCACTCTGATATTGACTTCTGTATTGCTGGAGCAACTTCCTTCAGTTGGTTAATGAGCACCTGCACATGAAAAGCATTTGAATAGGGAATTCACTTCAGCATGTAGGAACAATATCTGAAATCAATGAAGGTGCTAAAAGATCTATCTTCAAACAGAGTAGAATTGTGATGGTACTCAAAGCAGAATGTCAGTGTATTATAAGCAAGTGAGTATGCACAGGAGAAATTAAAGTAATAAATTCCCATTCCTTTTTCAAACCTCCACAATGATTAAACTTCTCTACTGTCCTGAAATCCAAGAGTAACCAACTTTTGAGATTTGACCAAATTTTAGCTGTTTGGGTGAAGAGTAACATGATAGTTACCTAATGGTTCTCATCAAAATAAGTAGTCAAGTAGTCATCCATGTAAATGAGTGTTTCACTACCTGAAAGCTAGCAAGGTGCTGCTGATGCTCAGCAAGAGTTGCAGCTAAAGACTCAGCATGACCACTAGTACTACCATCTTGTGAACCTCGCAGAATATCTGGACCCTCTCCATCATTAGCTTTGGTCTAGAAAGCAAAAGAATTGTTATTAGTTCACTATATCAGTGGTGATTAGCAACATCCATAATTCTATGTCAACAACAATGAAAACACCATAAGAGATTATGCTGCTAAATGTCAACCAGAAAAAAAAAATTTGGGGGGGGGGGGTGCAAAGAGAAAGACATACCAGCTGAAGTGACTGCTTATGGATACGCTGCAATGCATGTGTCCAACACCTGATAATTTCTGCCACATCAACCGTCTGGTGGACCCTTCCACTTCTATCATCCACCATAGAAAGTTTTTCATCATTGACTTGTGCATGGTATCCATCATTCTGTTCTTTGCCATCCAAATCACCAGACTGGACAGATAAGATATCAGCATGAGGAACCTGAGAACTCTGATCCATAGCAGCAAGCAAAGATGATCCAGAGATGCGGTACCTGAAATGAGTAATTCATAAGTAGATGAGTGGAAGAGTGCCATAGGCCAACACAGAAAATTGCTATGCAGTAGCACATTACCTATGCTCCCTATGAGCAATCAAGTCCTCTATAGGGCCTGAAGCAAGAACTTCATGCTGACCTATATATAAAGCCAAGTAATACAACAGTTAACAAAATCAAACCAAGCAAATTAGAAAAATCAATGCTGTTAAATAATGAACAAATTAAACAAAGCAGAAATTAACACCAAGTCTGCAGGAGTCAGGGTCCATATCATTCATGAGAGTTCGTGGCTGGAATTGATTGACCAACTTCCAGGCATCATAACAAAGTATATGAGGAATCTTCCAAAGGCAATAAGAGCAATCTACATAACGTTTCAAGGAACCCTGTATCCAACAAGCTAATAAACCCAACTAGATGGAAATTGAGGCCTAAAGTATACAACTTACTTTTACGGGACAGTATAGACTCCCACAAGCGAGTAGCCTTTGAAACTAAATGAGAATTCTGACTAGAAGTTGATACAAGATCATCCCATAGTTCCCCTTCCAGCTTGACTTTGTTCCGCAAGTCATGCAATTTTTCCAGCTCTTGCTGCAAATACGCCTGGGATCCAATTTTGAAGAAAAGTATTGGATAAAGATAAAGCACATGTCAAGTGCATCACCCCCCAACCCAATCCCAAAACAGAAAAATAAATTAAAAAACACTGTTAAGCCTAGATCCTCAAAAAGAATTTGAAAGGCTATCCATTTACCTCTTCAGCACAAAGACCACGAAACTCTGCTGTCATTTCATGAGCCAAATTTGACCACATAGCCTGTCTCTGTACTGCTATTTCGGCATTTTTTAGAAACCTCCTTCTTTCAAGTGCTATTCTAGCCTGTTTAAGATAACAATCTCAATTAACTTTACCGCTACTTAAGATCAAGTTAATGTTTTGACACTAATAATCATAAGAAACATAAACTAAATGTAAAAATCAGTAAATATATATATATGTGTGTGTGTGTGTGTGTGTGTGCCGGAAACCAAAAGAAGAGAGATGGAACCCCCCAAAAAAATCCAGTCTGTTATCAACACTCAACAGTGCACCATTTTTTCAGGAACAATTTAAATAGTAGCAAATGTTCAGCATGTGTAACCGCAAAATAACATCAAAATATAGACGGCACATAAAAGAGATTTCAAAAAGTACAAAACCATGCAATTTATTGTTATAAAACAGTACTACCTTTGTTACAGGAAGTAAAGTAGCTGCATGCGAAAAGGCAACATCTGTCAATGGTGCAGGCAGCGGGTTAGAAGCTACATCATCTCCAAAAGTTCTTCTGTGAACCTCTCTCAAGGCATGCAAAGAAAGTTGCCACAAAAGTTCAACAAATCTGTAAAACACCAAGCTCCATCCAATGGGTTGGAGTGAACATGAATAAGACTAAAAATATGAATTATAAAACTGACAAGTATATCTATAAATCTCCCCCATTATTGGCATTGATAAGTAAAATACTAATGCCTCCAGATCTCCTAAAGAATATTTAAGTAACAGATCAATTTTATCATTCAGTTAAATCCATAAACACCAACTTTTCTTTTAGAAACATTGATTTCTCAGTATTGGGGGGCAACAATAGAGTATATCCCATCATCTAGAACTGCAAGACAACTCTTAACTAGGACAACAAAATGCAAATAACATTTTAAACTACTTATTCATGCTCCCATTTTAACTTTGTTTTCAACATTTTTCTCTGCAATCAGAAACAAGGTGAACTTCTAATATCAACAAAAGCATATACAGTAATTGGAGAAAAAAAAATAGATATTCAACTGCAAATTATCAGCCTCCGAACCTTGGTCCACAGCAGGTAGCAAGCGATGAAACCCTTGAATTACTCCTTGGAAGCGCCCCTTGAGCTTCAAGCTCGCTGATAATCCCTTGCACAACCTTAATTATGAAATTTCCACACACAATTAAACAAAGCAACCCCAAACAAGAACGCACAATCCGAAAATTAAAATGCATAAAAAATCTAATAATAAAACTTCAGTTGGATTCACCTTTCGAAAATCACGCGATTGCGCAGAGTCGAAAATCGGCCAAACCCTATCGAAATCCTAGGAGATCCAAACAAAACCAAAATCAAAACCGAAACCGAACATTGGATATCTATGGAGTGAAAGAGAAGGGAGAAGTAGTTACTCTGGCGGACTGTGCAGGCCCGCGAAGAGACGAGAGGATGAAGTAGAGAAGCTGCTCGCCCAATTTAGGGTTGGAGTGGCGGAAGAGTCCGACGCGAGGGGTGCCGTTGCTGGCTCCGATTCCAATTATGGATGGATCCAAGCCTAAGAGCAAGCAATTTGTGTACATTGCGCTCTCCAGCTCCATCTCTCTTTCCTTTTCTCTGTCCATTGTCATCACTTCTCCGATCTCCCCTCTCCGATTCTCCGATTCTCCGATTACCAGCTCTGCGTTTCTTTATTCATTCCCGAGGGGGGAGACTGTAGATGGAAATTTTGGGTTTTGAATTGGGGTCATTTCTTAATTTTGTAAAAGATTTGGAGTCTTACTGTAAATTACAATGGAAAATTTGGGTTTGAATTGGGGCCAGTTTATTATTTCAGAAAAGTTGGGTGGCCTTATTGAAAATTTGAATGGGTACGGGAGGGATAAAGCAGTCACGTTTAGCCGTTTGAAGTGACTGATGCTAAATTGCGCTGGTTAAGAAAATGTAAATGGGTGCTACCGTGCGCCGGCGAAACCGTTGTCGCCGGCCAGCTTCAAAAAAGGTGGCGTTAGCTGGTAGTTTTGTGGGTCTTATTACTATGCTTCGCGGATCAACGTAATATTTCGTTGTTTAT